AACATCCGAGCCTGCCCAGGTTCCAACCCTCTTATTTTGATCAGAACGAACACTTTCAAAATGAACACCTTTTGCCGCAATAATATTCGCTCGCAACAATATTTTCGACTTAGGTTGGAACAAAAGAGGCTCTTTTCCAGTTCCCCCCTAGATTTCATTGATTTGACAAGTAAGATAAAAATCCATTTTTAATCTTTTATTATCACCGCTTTTTTCAATGGAGACTGACTGTGAAAATTTAATACAAACCATTATTATGCATGAAACTCCAGCGCGGCATAGCTCTGCATTTGTAGCAGGCGCGGATGTAGGAATTTTTTGAGGGGGGCGGGGATTTTCAAAAAAATTTTGAAAATTTTCTCGACCTTTTTTTAGGTCGAACAAATTGATTTTGTAAGCTCTCCAAAACAACTATGAAGACCCAAACTTGACCAAATTTCTGCACCGCAGAAAATTTTTTTGAAAAAAGGCCAAAAAATGACGTTTTTAGGCACTTTTTGGGAAAATTTCGACCAAGATATCGCTTTTTTTTCGGCGCGCGCTCTCCCATCAAAATTAGTATAGATTGGCGTCAAAGGCGCCTTTATAAAAATTTTAAGGTCAGTCAGGCAAAAATGGATATCTCAAAATCGTACAAAGGGGGACCCTTTGGATTGGCTGGGGGTCGAATCCCTGAGGGGGGAGCGTCCACCCCCCACCAAATCCGCTACTGATTTGTAGTGAGCGCAGAGAAGAGGAGGAGTTGAGACGACTGCAGGCGTACGAGGCAGAGCTGAAGAGTGAAATGGCTGAACTGCAACACATCAAGAGTGAGCTCAGACACCATTCAGACTCCAACAGAAAAAGATCCTCTAAGGTAGTCATTCACATTGGATGGTTGGGGTTTGTGAGAGACAGGCAAACGTTATTCCTCCAAGAACTAGTTACTAACGGTTTTTTGTTGCGACCATTAAAAACTTGTATTCGGGTGTGGTTTAGTTTCTTTTTTTTTCACGCAAAATCAGATAACATACATACCCATCGGGATGGTTCGAGTGATATATTAAAGCCCTTTCAGTCGTGATCCGAACATTAAAAAAAGTTAAATGTCAGTGTCGAGAAAAACCGGTTTGAAATTTTTGAATTTTAGTCCAAGTTCGAGCGAGTTAAGCAAGCGAGCAGGTTTTTTAGAGAAGGATAAGCCAAGAAACTTGAGTTTAACTCGTCTGAATTTTCTGAAGTTTTTTAGCGCCATTTTCTCAATAAAAAACTTCAAAAATTCGCACATCAACCGGCTATCCTTGTTTACATTTATTTAAGTCTCATAACTTGCTCAAATTGAGTTGCTGAAATCTCATAACTCGCTAAGTCGATATTGGTGCTATTTAACCTAAAAAGAGAAAACTTCAGGACGTTTATTTCTATAAGTATTTAAAAATGAATGGAATCATTGAAAGAGCTCGATTATTATATATCACTATAAAAGGCTCTTTTCCAGTTCCCCCTTTTCAAAATATCGAGTTTTATGTTTGTTTTACGTCTTATTACGGCTAAATGCGTGATGTTACGCTGTAAAGTATAAAAAACAAATCTGTTCACAGTTGTCGATTTGTTCACCACGCCAAATTTCATTGCATTATGACAACGTTAAATAAGCTTTTCAAAAATGAATTTGAAAGGTGGGGGGAAAACTGGAAAAGAGCCAAAAAAAATTCTCCAACTACATTGTCAGAACAAAAAAAAACAAGATATAACAAGTTGAGGTTCTAGGAGCTGTTGCGCCTTCAACTGTGATTATAATTGCCCACGTCCCACGTTAACAAACGTCTGACCTACACATAATGCATTCCTTTTTCAAGTGGAGAAACGGAACATGGGTGATTGAATATTTCAGACTCGTTACGAGATCGAGGAATGTAAGGAGGACATAGTGGGGCTAGTGGGCAATTACGACAGAAAGATGATGGGGGACAGGGACAGAGCGGACTGGCTGGAGGGGGAGTTGAAGAGGCAGGAGGCGAGGGAGCAGCAGGTGGAGCAGAGCATGCACAGTGTCAGAGAGGAGTTCGAACGCAGACAGGCTGTCAGGTACATGTATAGTGGTGGACAAGTGAAACGAACCCCTCCCCTTTGAATCAGAATAAAACAGATATCGTTCTAAATGGGGGATTCTAATGTCAGGACGTCCAAATGGAACCGGAACCACCCAGGAACTGATTTTTACCCTAGTAACAGATCTTAAAACCATAATTTCGTCCCTCCTGTTTTCTTATGCAATGTTCCGAAATGAAATGTGATAAATATGCGAGTGACAAACAGTGCAACTAAAATCAAGAAGAGACCAGTGACAAGTTTAAGTTTGAATTATTTCACTGAATTATTTCACGAAACTCTCGTTCCTGTTTTATATAAGGGCGTTTGCAGAGATTTTTGTAAGGCTCTCATTAATTACTATATATAATTCATCGGAAGTTTATTCGTCGCAGACTTAAATAAAAACCCATTTTGGCATTCCGTGCCAATAGCATATTCCATGTTGAAGCAGACATACGTTTTTGTCTCCTAAAACTCCAGAGCAACGTGGGCAAAGTTTCTTAGATTTTACCAAATTCAAAACTGATGCGATGGGGATCAGTGAATAACACTAAACTAGAGATTGATCGAGCGAGTTCATGTTAGCAAAAGACGTCAACTGATAAAAGGTGTTGTGCGTAGGAACGAGATGATAAGACGCGAGTTCTACCGGATGAATCGTAACGGAAATATCCTAGGGCGCGAGTGGCGGGGATACCTGATGAAGAGAGCCGACCCATATGAAACGGACGCCAAGAAGAAGAAACGACGCGGAAAGGGGAAGAAAGGAGGCAAGAAGGGAGGCGCTAAGAAGGCGGGAGTTAGGGTCAGATCTCCCCGAAAACCTATCATCAGGGGTGTTAGGGGAGGAAAGCGGGGTAAAAAGAAAGGGAAGAAGGGTAAGAAACCGGCTGGCCAACAGTTGGGTGTAATTCAAGAAGTTGATGATGACCCAACGCAAGAACAATGAAAAAGGGTCCTTTTCCACGCCCCCTTTTTTGTTTTATATTTTCATCTAAGTTGTATAAAATGTTATTAAGGCTAAATGTGTGATGTTACGATATGAATTATAATGAAAAAATCTGTTCATAATAGCTGGTTTTTTCAACATGAGAAGTTTCATTGCATTATAACACCGCCAAAACAGTTTTTCAAAACAATCAAATGTGGGGATTGTGGAAAAGAACCTGAAACTGTTGTGAACATTTTTTCGAAAATTGTTCAAACTGCGAATGACTTTGGAGAAACTTGAATTTCAGCTTTTATAATAAAATATTGAACAGCTTGTTTTCGGACCAGTCCATTTAGAGAATTTTAGTACTTTAGTTTTGTTAGCTAATATAGCCAGTTGGGTAATTTTTAATGACTGAAGAAACAAAATATGATTGATTTTTATTGAAAATTGTTGAGAACAAAAATACATGATCAAAGCTCATTCAATTTCAAGGATCTTTATGATTGAAACTTTTCAAATAAAAACAAAACCCAATTGATACAAGGCTAGCCGAATGCTGTGCAAATAGCAGAGAATGTTCAGATCATATTCATAACAAAAACTCATAAACAAAAATTTATTTACAAATTAGTGTCATTTTTTGTGCGCGGTGATGCAAGGATCCGAACAAAAGGCTAAAACTTGAGCATATTCGATGGTAATAGTAAAAATGGATATATTGGATGACATTTTTTGAAATTGCCATTTTTTTGAATTTTTGAAATTGTTTATTCCCAACATGGAGCTGAAGAAAACTTGAAAAGCTAAAGAAAACTAGAATTAAACTTATCTATAATAAGCCTAGTCGATATCTCCACTCGCTCGAAATTAGTCTAATACTCAAAACTTCAGACCGGTTTTTCTCAATCCTGGGACAACTTTTGAAGTATTTTAATATTGTTCAAATCATGATCAAACACCCGAACACAAAGTTCCTCCATATTTTTAATGGTCGGACCAAAAATTGTGATAATAAGTAAATCCTCTTATTCCATTTTAAATTTAACACTGGGGTGCAACTTCGCAAACGCTGGCGAAAACACGAGAAAAAGCAGCTCCATCAAGTGCAAACAGAGAAATAAGCCTCGAATTAGTAAAACTTTCACTACGTCTGAGATTGGAAGTGACCTAGAGATTAGGAGTCTCACACACAAACCACGGAAGTCAAATAGGTACTAAACACTAGCCTCAATTAAAGCAGAGAAGAGATGCTATGCAATTTTCAATGCTACAGTGAAATTTCCAAAAAAAAACACTTATTTGCAATTAAAGTTAGAAAAAAAAGATTTGTAATGACACACGACGCTGATCTCTAGTGTAAAAATGAACATCTTTAATTAAACTAAAACTGAAAAACAGAGACTTTGATAAGATTAAATGAACGCAAGTAAACAGAAAAAAAACTGACTTTTTCAAAGTGCCTAAAAAGGCTCTTTTTTCAAAAATTTGCTTACGACGCAAAAATTTGGCCAGAACAGAGTCTTTATAATGCTTTGGGAGAGCTCGGAAAATCAATTTGCTCGACCTAAAAAAACATTGACAAAATTTCCTAGAATCAAAGTAAAGCGTATCTCTCCTTACTTTCATATCCTACCATTTCGCTCATTTTGTTAAGTCTTTACTTGATGATTGGACACCAGCGGATTTAAGGGGGGCAGACGCCACCCCTCTCTCTCCCCCAGGGATTCGACCCCCAGCCGACCCAAAGTGTTCCCCCTTTGTACTATTTTGAGATATCCATTTCTGGCTTACTGACCCTAAAGTTTTTCTAAAGGCGCCAGAATAAACTAAATTTGAGGGGGAACGCGCGTCGAAAAACGCGATTTTTTGGTTAACATTTTCCAAAATAGGGTCCTTACAGTGATTTGGTAATTTTTCCCCTCCCTCGAGAAATTCCAAGATCCGCCCCTGTTGATGAATATACCAAATAACTCACAATTTCACGAGAAAAGAATTGAATACAACAATCTATTCAAACATTTTGGATTTATGAACAACTATATGCTCGCAATATTTATCTAGGATGTGGCTGTGAATGCTATACTAGTTAGCCTTAGCTACGAAATAACCATTTAGATTGTCAATAACATACTATCAAAAAACTCATTCACGTTTCTTGGCTTCTGTTCTTCTTTCAATCCCATGGCTTTAGAAGCAATTTAGCATAAAAATAATGGAAACAGTAGGAAACAAATCAAATCAAATGCACTAAAGTTCAGACGTGAGGAAAAGGCTACTATAAAAGTGTCAAATTCTGTCGAAGAAAACTACCAACATTTGAAAGTTTACAGTTTATACGAACACCACAACCAGTTTACTTCTCAAAACGACGCAAAATCATTTCTGAAGATACTGACTAAGATTTTCTTTTAAAAATCAAAATGTGAAAACACTAAATAGTCCAATTTTTCCAAATAATATCCCTCACCTAAATGGAAGTAGAAACCGTTTATTTTTTGGAATGGGAATTTTGAGCCGAAGAGTGTATGGGCGTGGTTGTGGCATCTCTCCATTGACAAACACACTTGGTGGCAAATGATTGCGGGCTAAGCGAGCGAGGAACACTAAGATTAGAAGAGAAGGAAAAGAGAGTATGCTACGCAAAAAAAGAAAGCACCGATTAAGAGTATACGACGAACGAACGAAACGAAGAGTGAAGTGTAATATTATTGTCATTTATCAAATCAGTATCCTCTGTTGAGTTGTATTTTTGCATCTACACCAATCACAGAAGGGAAATGAAGTACTTACATTGATTATTATCATCGGCTGAATCTATTGCTAATCACTAGAAATCAATTAATCGTTTTACATTCTAAACTAAACATATTCATCATTTTTTATTTGCCAAATCAGAGTCCAAATGAGGAGACTAAACGTGAGCAGGGCAAGCAAGCACTTCCGGAAAACCAGCCTAATCACATCTTCTCTTTCTGTCGCGAACAATCTGAGTTGAGTGGCTGCAGAATGAGCACTCAATCTGCACTAGATTAGATGACCAAACGGTGAAACGCTCTAGAAGGAACGCAACAATGGTAATATCAAATATCACACCACAAAAACATGAATATATTTAGCAGCGGCAGCAGATATACTTCATATTCTCTCATCTTTTGAGCAGAGGCAATTTTCACAAACGCAAAAGAAAAACACCCCAACCCCCAAATACATGTTTTATTCACCGGCACCTCTTGTGCGTTTGAATTTTTATCAAGCACCACCAATTAACTGAAAGGAAAATAAAGTTTTGTAAAAACTTTCGAATATAAAGACATCTCAAATGGACGCTACTTATGGTAAAGGTAATGATACAACAAAAACTGCAGAGATGTAATCAAAAATGCTCGCTGGTTATTCATATACTTACCTAAAACTACAAAGCTAAGTTTCTTTATAATATACGATAATTCAGAGTATCAAGAGCCTTCAAAAGTCTTAATAAGCATTATCAATATTCTAAATTTCCATAAAATACTTCAAACAATGAAATCGGCTAGATTTTGATGATAATAATATCACTAAGTGGATCGAATATTAGAAACCCGATATTTTGAGACTAAGGAACTGACGAACGAATGATATCATAGCAGTCACATAGATGAAAAATTCGAAATGAAGAATGAGAATTTGGTAACGTATGGCATCACAATCCTATGATTGGATCGAGGGATGTTCTATCTTCCGAGGCGTCGATTAACAAGAAAACTCGGTATAATTTTGAAAGGGACAAAAAACGAACAAGCACGCTAATAGATTTAGCCAGTATTTTAAACCAAGTTCGTCAACCTGCAACCACTCATAGAAAAAACAGCCCTCCAACCTGAAAAGAGAAGTAACCGATGTCGGTATTAAGGACTATCAATAACAGCAACATACAGCTAACGACAGACTAAACATATCACTATGAGATGAAAATTAAAGCTATTGTGTTCAAATCATCGCGTGCTGAACACTTCACACACAGCACGCTCCTGCAGATAAAATAATTCTTGGGGCGAAATATTGAAAATGTAAGTACATCTATTTCACGCAGACCTAAGAGTACTGAATGGTGTGGTTATTATTATTGCAATAAGCGACAAAACTAGTCAGAATAACGATTCACGAACCAAACATCTCCTCCCCTAAATGTCTCTAAAGTGTTCATTTGCAATTGATTCATTTCTTCACAACCTAACTCAATATGCTTGCTCAACAAAATAACATTTGGTTGACATAAGATAAGTGGAAAAACTGATAAAAGGGAAGAGATGACGTGTTTGAATAGTAGTGTGTTAAAGTAGACAAGGCTGTTACCATAGCACAGATCGGAGTTAAACGTAATGAAAATAAAATTAACTTTGTGATGATCCAACAAATCTACAATAAAGGGTATAACATCGGAATCATTACAATCGTTATCAACTAAAAGAAATCGCAAAATTTAGTGATTAAAATATATGAACGCCTCAATAATGGAATCTAATTGTTCCTGTGTAATATGTATATTATATATTTTTACAACTTTCAATAATCCAATTCATTGCGCTATCTGTCGACAGCTAAATTAATTCTACAATTTTCAGTGTTTTTAACGTTGACCAGGACGACCACGTTGACAATAAAGGTTTTATCCAATTTTACAGTTTGGTGTCCTCAGAGTCAGAACTTGGAGTCTTCTTCGTCACTGGAAAGTGTGATTATACTGTTGTTGGAGCCTGGTGACTCGTTCTCCCCACTTACTAGGGCTGAGATGCCTTCCTGCGTGTGTTCGCATGGCGGCGAGTCTCTTTCCACCTTAATGGATGGTATGGACATTTTTCTAGTTGCGGCTAGCTTCACAATCCCAGAAGAGCAAGAAGCTGTGTGATGGTCTGTTCCTGGGCCATTGGCGTGAGCATGTAGCATGCTCAGCGAGGACGATGCCAAGTGCGGGCGATGGCCCAGCTGGTCGTTTGAAGCCACCGAACCAGCGCCATGTACAAGCGGACTGGAAATCATTCTTGAGTCTACGAGGGAGTTCTGCCTCAACAGAAGGGACGAGGCATTTGCAGCAGACAATACCACTGCGGCGGGCGAGATTAACTGTCGAGAGTTGAACGAATTGGCCAGTTGTGAGAGGTGTGAGTTTGCTCGGCTGTCACAACTCATGTCCAGAATCGCAGCGGCTGCAGCCGAGTTGCGAATAGACACTGGAGAGAGGAAAGAGTGATGATCTGAATTAGAGCCGGGTGCACGTAATAAAGAGAGGGAACCGGAGGGTGCTAGGGATGTGTTGACTGCAGAGGGTAGAAGCGAGTAGGCTGAGGATGTGTTCACGCCTCCTGCTGATCCGTCGTAGCAGTACGAGGAGTGAGGTGGCAACTGCTGATGTAAGGAAGTTCGAAGGGGCGACACTGCCAGAGATAATCCGAGGCTAGACATTGTCGCCGCATTGGATGAACTTCCAACCACACCAGCGCCAGTGTGGAAACCGTTGCCAGCATGCCCATTAACAAGTTGTAACTGCGCGGCAGCTGCCATTGAATTAACGCTATCGTGATTGGACAGAACGGATGCGGCTACAGATTGGCCAGAGCTCCCACTGCCATTTCCACTTCCTCCGAGAGATAGCAGGTTAGCTGAGACGGCAGCATTTTGCATCATTGAGGAGTTGGCTGCCGCAAACAAGGGCGTAAATGCGGTATTGAGAGAGTTGGCTAGGGACACTGCTTCCAGGGTGTGCTCGTATATTGAAGAGTGCGACCCAGGGAGTCCAGGATAATCAACAGTCTAAAAGATCACAATGCAATTATCATGGACACTAAAGGAGCATTTAGAAACCTTTGTCAAATTGTCTCCCACTATAAATATCCTATAACTAATGAGAACTTTCTTTTTATTAGCCTAATTGTCGTGACAAACTTATTAAATAGTTTCAGAGACAGAGATGTCTAACGCAAATCAACCAATTGGAAATGATGAACAGCTTGAGGTATCCGAGGAAGCAAATCTACCGAACCTGAGATACCAAGATCAGACTCCGATACCAAAATCATTATCAAACCCGAAGAGACCAAATGAAGTTATGAGTCCATTAAACGAGCAAGAAAGTAAGAAGCAGAGTATTGACATAGAAGAAGCTGTCGAAAATGCCATCAACACAGCACTCCCAAAAATTCTGGAAAAACTAAAACTTGATTTGAAGAACGAATTGCAGACAGACCTTAAGAAAGAAATCTGCGAAGAGCTTAACGACGAAATGAAAAACAGCGAACTCAGAAGTACCTTAAGGACCCTGTGCGAGACTGAACAGCAGGAAACATACAACAGACGTGACAATATTCGAGTACTGGGAATAAACGAAACTAGTAGAGAGCAGCCTGAAGAGACAATCAAGAAGATTATATCCATCTCTAAGGAGATTAATGCAAAGGTAGAGGAAGGCGACATTTCAATTGCTCATCGATTACCAGCCAAAAATGTAGCAGCCCGCCCTATCATTGTGAAGTTCTCCAGGCGCATAGCCAAAGTGGAAATTATGAGGAAAAAAAAAACCTTGCGAGACAAGCCCACCACTGAAAATGTTAAAGTATTTGAAGACATCACCAGAGCACGAGTGAAGTTTCTGAAGCTTATGAAAACTGACAAGCGCATCGCATCAACATGGACCAGAGAGGGCATGATTTTATACACTCTCCAAAATAATGATCAAGTGTATAGATATCAAAATATTTTCCATGCTGCATCAGATCTTGGTTACAGTTACAATGACACCATGAATTGTTTTCGTGACTGATAATGTGAATCCCTCAATTGTGCTTAATAATGAATTATCCCAAATTACCTGTTATAATAATCAATCTAGTCATAAAGCGGATTTCTTTAATTTTTCTGTGCTACACCTAAATATCATGTCTTTAAAACCACACTATGAAAAATTGGAAGCACTTATTTTAAGTCTTGAGTCTCCACCTGATATAATTTGTTTAAGCGAAACATGGCTAAAGGAAACAGATGAAGGTAAAATTTACCTGATAAATGGTTATAACCAATGCCTTATGCAAAATCGAAATGGCATGAGAGGAGGAGGAGTGATGGTTCAGGTACATAAAAACTGTAATTTACTGAAACAACGAGATGTCACATTTGAAGAGGCTTTATTCGCGGAGGTCGAAAAAAACAATTACAAATTAAAAATAGCCGTCATCTACAATCCACCAAGAATAAACAAGTTACTCTTTACTGACAAACTTGAACAGTTTCTTGAAGATAATAGCACACATTCTGACCCTTTCATTGTATGTGGCGATTTCAATATAAATACACTGCAAGAAAATCAACTCACCATTAATTACCTGAACGCTATAAACTCGAATGGGTTTGAGTATTTTGCATCAGAACCTACTCGTGTATCATTAACAACATCAACTTGTTTAGATCACTTCATCTATCAAAATATTGCAAATCCCAATTCCACGGTGTTAGAACAAGAAACTATATCAGACCACTATCCAATCCTCTTAGATTGGTCAATAAAGCAATGTAAAAAAGATATATCGATAACATTCCGTGATACATCTTTTCTGAGGAAGGCTTCAAAATGTAGAGAATTTGAAAATGAATTACAGCGTGTGTTAAGTGAACAGGAAGAAATTCTCATGGGTACCGAAGATCCCAGTGAGTCTTTTAATTTATTCAAATGTATCTTTGAAAATGTCCTAGACAAATTCGCTCCGCTAAAGGCAATTTCACCAAGAAGCAAAACTCAGCCACCATGGTTCAACAATGATCTTAAAAATCTGCGAAATAAGCGCAATGCAGCCCATCGAAGATGGAAAAATAATCCTGAAAATCCAGAAACCCTAGTGAATTTTAAAAAACAAAGACAAAAGTTTGAAAACGCCGTTAAATGCAAGAAAAGAACACATTACATGAATAAATTTAGACATTGCATTGGAGACTCAAGACAAACATATAAGTTACTCAATGAATTAAATTGTAAGAACTTAGCCCAATCAAATATTCCTGTTCTAGATTCATGCCTTCAAGTCCAAGAAAAGCCATCTAATAAAGATATTGCTGACAAATTCAATGATTTCTTCACTAACATTGGAGAGAATTTGAAAAAAGAGTTGCCTAAAATAGATCCACCATGCTTACCCAAATTAAATCACTCCATGTTTCTTTTTAAGGTAACAGAACCAGAAATACACCAAATCATCTCTCAATTGGACGATAAATCGACATCTGGGGATGATTACGTCAGTAACTTAATTGTCAAATCTTCTAAAAATGCTGTTGCTCCTTTATTAACAATACTTATTAATGCGTCTTTTTCTAAAGGTGTTTTCCCTTCCGAACTTCGTAAAGCCAAAATTGTTCCAATCCACAAAGAAAAATCGCGGCGAGATGAAAACAACTATCGGCCAATTTCTTTACTAATAGTTTGGAGCAAAATCTATGAACGCGCAATGCACAACAGATTATATTCTTACTTTGAAAATTTATCCCTTTTATACAACAAACAATTCGGCTTTAGAACCAAACATAGTACAATAGATGCAGTAGCTGAATTGACAGAAAATCTAAGAATGAGAAGTCATACAAATGAAATTTATAGTTTTTTCTTGGATCTTAGGAAAGCCTTTGATACTCTCGATCATCAAATACTACTAAATAAACTGGAATCTTATGGTATAAGAGGAAATTGTAACCGGTGGTTTCAGACCTACTTATTTGAACGGACTCAACGAGTTTTAGTAAATGGACAATTCTCTGATTGGAAGAAAATAACATGCGGTGTTCCTCAAGGCTCGATACTGGGACCTTTGCTTTTCCTAATTTACGTAAATGACCTTCCATCAGCATGCAAATCAGTTGAAGTAACACTGTTTGCAGATGACACCAACCTGACGGCAATTGGTTGCCAAATAACTCAAATTAGAGAAGATATTGGCAAGCTGGATCGTTGGCTTCTCGCCAACAAGTTAATAGTTAATAGTGATAAAACAAATCAAATGAATATAAAAAGTGCTTCCAATTATCGCTTCAAGCTTAATTCTTCTAACATTATACTAAAACCCGTATGCAAATATCTAGGAATTTATATAGATTGTAAGTTATCTTATCAAACTCATATTAATAATGTTAAAATGAGACTCGGTAAACAATGTGGTATTATATCAAAACTGAGGCATTACGTGCCGCTTTCACAATTACTAGAATACTACAGAAGTAATGTTGTTCCTATAATACAATACGGAATTCTGATTTACGGTTGCTGCAGTCGAAGTTCACTGGAGTGTTTATTTCTTTTACAAAAGAAAATAATTAAATTTATGTTCTTTCGAAAGAAAATGTACTCCTGTAATGACATTTTTCTTAAATACAATTTTCTATCGGTTTTCGAATTGCATGTATACGAATTGCTCAAATTTGTTCTGCGCTCAATTAATTCCTTTCATTCAGAGAGTTTCCTTAACAATTTGTTTGTTTTTAATAATCGGCAGAGACAAACAAGAAACTCAAAATACAATTTACTATTAGAACCTCTTTGCAAGAAAAGATTTGAACGTTTTTCTATCCGATATCGTGCTTGCAAGCTTTTTAACTTATTGAGACTGCAAAATATAATTCCTGAAAATATTGAAAGTTTTTCTGAGACAAAAGTAAAAGTGTTTTACCATAATTTCAAAAATACATTTTTGTTGCAAAACGACGAACTAACAAAACTTATCTACGATTTGTAGTACTTTTTCCTTTTTTCTTTAAAATGATTATCGTTGGTTAAATGCTACCAGGCAACTGCTCTAGCTTCCGATTCTCGTGGTAAAATATGAAGCTCTAAATCCTTGTAGTTTAGGAGATATGGCCATTTTTACAATTTTTCGAAAAATATTAAACACTTAGTAAAAAAAAAAAAAAAAAAAAGGGAAAAAAAGGGGAAAAAAAAAAAAAAAAAATTATTTTTCTTAAAAATTATTTTAAAACTCACCTGCGACCGTGAACCTGGTTGTCTTAAGTTAAAGTTGATGGGCTCTTTCAGTAACGCCAACAAAAAATCTTAACTTACGGAAGTAAACCTACTTCAAAACTTTTTTTTTTTTTTTTTTTTTCAAATTTCGTTTTTTTTTTTTTCATTAAATATTAGTGTTAAATCTTTATGTTTGAACAACTTAAGGGTAGACCCTGGAGGACCTTTAGGTCCCGTTGTCTATCCTCTCTAAGTCGCATCATTTAACTTAAATTATAAATATATTCAATGTTGTATTTAATGCTGACTAGAGAAATAAATTCTTTCTTTCTTTCTTTCTTATATAAGCAATTTTTGTTTCTCACAGCGGGACCTCTCACTGGGCTAAGAGGAGGATGAGCAACAGGAGGGTTTGAATGGTGGTGGTGCTGCTGTTGTTGTTGCTGCTGTAGTCTTGAACTGTAGTCCATAAGCAATTGGCGATGCTGATGATGCTGAGCTGTGACTGCGGCGGCTGCTGCTTGTGCCGCTGCTGCTAGAAGGGAGTCTGGACAGCCAGCCACTTGAACAGGATCCAGTCCAGGATGAGGTATGCAGGCGGATCCCGGCGCCCCATGGGGTCCAGCTGCTTGAGGAATTAGAACTGCAGTGGCTGAGTTGAGAGCCAACTGATGTGCCCGATGCTGGTCAGTTGTGGCCGCTATCAAGTAGGGGTTAATTGCAGCTGCTGCCGTAAGAGGCTGAAACACATGACAAAATTGGTTTAATTCCTCGTTTAACGACCCTTCTCAGCCACTTATACTCATTGAGGATTGTAGACAATAACTGTGCTGAAAACTACACTTTTCTAAATTTATTATTACTCGAACAAGCGTCCATTTCATAACTCAATTTACTTACTTGATAGGCTGCAGCGGCCACTTGGTAGGCAGCCACTTGTGGGTAAATTAGGGAGAGCCCATGAGGCGTGGACTGGTAAGGAGCTCCAGCGTGCACAGCCAGTGCGTTTTGATTCAGAGCCGATGCACCCAAATCGTGTGGTCTATACGCGGCTCTATTATGTAACAGCGTGGCTACCGGGTTGTAATGAAGGATGTTGGCGTTGTTTGCGGCCGCCACTTGCTGTGCCATGCCCACTGAGTTCACTGTCTGCTGGAGTCTACTGACCCCAGCTGCACCTCCTGGTTGCGTAGAAGGGCCACCCTGTCCAGCTCCAGGCATCAAAAGATTCTTTGCCAACGAAGAGGCAGCTGCAACATGTGCTAAGCTAGCGGCCATATGGGCTGCGTTGTTTTGCTGAGTCTGTGTTAGACCAGTTGGTCCGCCTCCTGCCGTATTTTGCAATTGGACCACTGGTGCAGAGTTTGTGTGAGATGCCACCGCCCCAACCGCCATTGCATGGGCCGCAGACCCAGACGCTCCTCTGCAGCAGATATCCATGTACTTCCGACTGGACTTAATTCTAAAAACAAAACAAAAAAGATTTCATTGTCTAGAAAGAGGCGATATATATGGTTAACAGAAAACTGTAGAAACTTCAATGAACAATGAAACTAAAAAACCTCAAATTTTTAATTTCCGAGTTTCGAAGATGAAAATAATGCATTAAAGCTAATACATTTAAGCTAGATTAAAACTAAGGATTTAAGAGAGAACTGAATCAATAGATTATTCTCTCTGGCTTTTTCAAAGTCTGTAGACCGAAGGGTAAAGAAAAAAGAGACAGGAGGAATATGCATCACACCAGATAGTTGACGATCTTTCCACTGATACCCGTTTTTTGAAAATCGGTACAACAGTTATTGAGAAAAACTGAAAAACCTTGAAAAAATAAAAAAGTTTTCCAAAGCGTTTCCAAGAATTCGAGGCAAAATGCCAAACAAGACATTTGAATTTTAAATCAGCAACGGAACAAAATTTACGAAGCGGAAACAAAGCTAACAATCTTTCAGCATACAACAGTTGATCCAAAAAAAACTTTTTACAAAAAACTTTTTAAAGTTTTAGTTCTCCTTGAAAGAACAAGAAACAAAATTTGCAATTAACATGCAACTGTGCTTACAGCACAAGAAAAATTCGTGGTGTGGCAACAAGCCAACAAAACTTGAGCAGATAAACGAAAGTCCGACAATTCAGTTTCAACCGGTTTTTTTTTTCAATTGTATACATACTAAAAAACAATGTCATCTAGAGATTTGAACCATGAGCCTTATGGTGCAAAGGCGATGTCGCTTTCTCTAGGCCAAAGCGAAGGAACCTGGAAGTTATTAAGATTCAAAAACAAAGCAAGTTAAAAACTTGTAAAAGTTGTTCACGGTATAAATTTGACTAGTTCCCGATTACAAATAATTACACTTGATTTCGCAAGTGTAATGATTTTAAAGCTTTAAGAATTTCAAAAAAAAAATTAAGATTGACAATTTTTCTGAAAAAACTCATTCAATTTATGACCACTGAATCAATAGGTAAAACTTTTATTCTGCTGGAAAAACAAACACTTTCGATACAATTTTAAAAATGCATGACAAAGTATTGAAAAATAGAAGGAAGTCTTTTTCCAAAAAAAGTAAACTGAAACATTAACGTGAAAAAGAGTCCAAAAATTTCATACTTTTTTCTCGGATGATGTTCATAAACAGCCTTAACAAGCATTGAAAATCAATGACCGAGCAGCGACATAGTCGAAAAAACTTAGGCGTTTTTTTTGCGCTAATTCGGCTTTTACTTGCCTTCTAGCATTAAAATTCATAAATATTAGAGCATTTTAAGACTTTTCCTGCAAAAAATCACCAACACCTATATAGTCTTGACTACATTCATCAAATTTCAAAAATTACCCGATTTGGGAAAGCGACTAAGCCGACAAAGCATAAGCAGGCAAACGACACTCCGACAATTCAATTTTTCCCAAAACCCGAACCATAGGGTACAAAGGCAACCGTGTCATCTCTACGCCAAGTAGGAAGGAGTCCAGAATTTGCATAGTTTCACTAATAAAGCAACTTCCAATTTATTAGATTTGTAAGAAAATTTGCTTACGGGGATAAAAGACACTTCATCTCGCAACTGCAATTACTTGAACCGTTTATTGAAAATTATATTAAAACTTAAAACTAAGTTCAAATTTTTAATCGCCCAATAAAAGTTGTTTTAGGCGAGCGCAAAATTTGAACATAAAACATAAAACTTTTTTCAAAAAAACGTCTCAAGTAATTAGAAGTGAACCATGAGTTGAAAATCAAAAATCACAAGCAAAAAAAATTTCACAGACGCTTTCAGCCTTTAGTTAAGCACGGAACTGTTCAGCAGATAAGTTGCAAATTGATTCCGAGACAGAAAGCGAAAAAATCTTCAAAACACTAGCGATAAACACAAAAGTAGCACTGCAAGAAAGAGGCTAGACCATAATACGGAATTCACTAAATCAAAAAATGTTGAAAAAATTTGCTTCATTCGCCCCGAATATAATCAATTTCACAAGCCGGAAACACAATGATCAGCTTTAAATGAGCACTCATAATCCTTTACCGAGCAGTAGCAACTCCAAAAGCACTTAGTCTGTCACCCGTTCAGCCAAAAATTTTCGAGCATAGTTTCGAAACCAAAGTTGTAACTCTCACTTCTGTTGAAACTCGAAAGCTAAAGAATTTTTTTATCTTTGATCTTCAACCGGCAGAATATAAGATAAAATGTAGCCAAAACCATTCAAGCGAAAAAAACGTGAGTCTAGAACTTCTAGAACGATTTATGATTGGCGCTTTTTTGATAACATTAACCCAACTTGAGAAGACTGGATCAACAGGTACGGTTTTTATTCCGCTGGAAACCTAAAAATTCCGCTGAAAATCTTAAATTACTAAAACAATTTATGATTGGCGCTTTTTTGATAACATTAACGCAAGTTGATAAAACGGGATCAACAGATAAAGTTTTTATTCCGCTGGAAATCTGAAAATTAAATTCCACTTTCGAAACTAGAAATCGTTCAAGAATTTTTGCACCATTTGCACGTTCTTATTTGGAGAGTGCTATTTACGTCATTTTTAGCATATGAATTTCAATTGAACTCAAAAAAGGCATATATACCTAAGTGCATCAATATCCTAAAAATCCTGGAAAAAAAAACAAAAAAATCAGCAAGACCTATATAAGAGTCCTCACTACGTTCATTATTCTTTAAAAAAAGTAATGAACGCAATGAAACTGAATTAAAAACTGACTTTTTTTCGAAAATCTTCAACTTTTGAATTTCGAAGCAAAAAAAATGGCTTTAAAGCTCTTTGAATTTGTAAAACAATTTATGATGGACTCTTTTTTTTGGTTAAAATTAGCCCAATTTGAGAAAACTGGATCAATACGTATAACTTTTATTTCGCAGAGAAATCTAATAATTACTTGTCATTTTCGAAATGAGAAGTCGATCACGTTTTTCGTGACCTTTACACTTTTGTTGTTCGATAGTGGAGTTTGCTTTCCTTCTAACAATCAAAATGCTCTGGACTTTTATAAATGAGCGTGAACAACTTTCAAGACTCTTCCCTGAAAAGAAAAACAAAAAAATCAGTAAGACCTATATAAGAGTCTTCACTACGTTCATTACTCTTAAAAATGACTCTGGTCTTTGATGATAGTTTATCTTCAATGACATGAGAAATGTTCAAAGATTCCATACACTCTATTTGTTAAAATATCCCCAAGATGCCTACAGTCGTATCCACTTAAATAGAAATAAAGAACCTGGTAAAGAATCTCCTAGCCGATTTGTTAAACAATTCAATACACTTACATTCTGCTGTGAGGGAACTGGGAATGTGGGAGATGCTCCATGGAGATGAAAGAGTGGGAGAGTGCAGCGTCGGGTGCTATTCTGAGCTCTGGACTGAGTGAGAGCATCGTCTTTAGAAGTTTCACAAACTCGCGTCTGTCCAACTTGTCCACCAATTTCTCACTTCCATCTACGTCACCGCACTTTCCCCCCGCTAGATCTCCGGCAGCCGCACTGGCTATGCGCACATTCTGTATTTCATCAAGCGAGCTGAAGATGAACTTCCTGGCCTCCTTGGACTTCACACCACACTCACTCAACATCTCTTCTGGGTATTTCAGACGCCACACTTGCATGCTGTCACGCACGAAAAACTTGCACGTCTTATGGGCTATATTAAGCAAGTGGTTATCAGGCGTTCCTTGAGTCTGCAAGATGTAGCGTATCTGGTCGTACTCTGAAGCACCAGGGTACAAGGGCCAGCCAAGGAACAGTTCCGCTATTACACAGCCCAGACTCCACATGTCAATGCTTTCATTATAATTCAGACCGAGGATGATCTCTGGTGCCCTGTAGTACCGAGACTGCAAATAGGTAGCAGGCACAGTTTTCGAGACATGCGAAGCGCTCCCAAAGTCGATCACTTTCACCTTGAATGGCTGGTGCTCCGGTTCGACCAGCATGATGTTCTCCGGCTTTAAATCCGCGTGGATTAACCCTAGCTGTTTCAGCTTCAGCAGAGCGCACAGAACTTGTTGTGTGATTGGTCTAATATATCTGAGAGGCATCGGTCTGAAGTTCTGGGCCTTCAAAAAGTCATAAAGATTTTGCTCCAACATTTCAAACACAATACAAGTATGATTTTTGTGGTTGAAAAACTCGTACGCTTTGACAAAATTGTATTTTTCGGCATTTTCCTGCATGAGTCGCGACAGAATTTGCACTTCAATTTGTCCCTGCCGTTGATATGAGGGGTGGTTCTTGAGAATCTTAATTGCTACTATGTCTTTAGTCCCTCGCTTCCAGCACTTGACCACTTGGCCGAAAGTTCCTCTTCCTAGGAATTCCAGAACTTCATAATTTGCCTTGTTTTGGGACACTAGCACTTCATGCTGAGTCAAAGTATAGTCACCATCCACGGACGATGAGCTGCTTTGCGCCGCAGCTTGGGATGCATGATTCAATGCGCTTGCGTTGTTGGTCGCTGACTGTGGAGGCTGGGCGGCAACTTTGTTGGCGTGGACGCGCACAGTGGGCGCTACAACAGCAGTCGAAGTTGCTTCGAAATCAGATGCGTTTCTTTTTTGTCCTCTTAGGTGATAATGAGTGTTAGATCTAGACTGATGCTGCTGGTGTTGTTGCTGCACTACGGATGCCAGACTACTGCCGCCATGCTGTAAATGAATCATCTGCTGCTGTGGGTGCAGTGACACGTTACTGAGGTTCAATGCAGCCATGGCTACTGGTCCTCCTCCTGCACCGGATACATGGTGCACTAGCGAGGGATCCCGCATCGTGCAGGAGCTTTTGCAATCTAAAACAATATGCTAATTAATACACCTCGACATTTAAAGCTGCGGGTCGATTCGCGATCAATTTTTTCAACGGACAACGAATGTTCCTGTTCAAAAACCCAAACTAATTCGACTTTTTAAAAATTAACGTCGGTCCATTTCAGAATAATAAATAAACGTTTATTTGCTAAACCGTTTTTACGCTCACGTGCCTGTTTTATGTTCTGTTTTTATTTTCTTGTTGCTGGCCAAAGACAAAGTTGACGAGGCTGTCTGCAGCTTAGAGGAGTTAACGTTTGCTGTGATATTCAAGCTTGAGTTGGCTTTCTGAGTTTGAGATAGGTTAGCGGCTGCCGTTGACGTGCCTGACCTCTTTGGCATTGGGACTAGTCCACGCACACAGCTGATTTTATGGCTGTGGCTCTTCGAGATGTTAGACAAGCAGCCAAACTTTTCCCCAGTCAAATAAAAATCGGTTCGGAATTTTCGCTCAACTAGCAAATAATTTTTAACATTCTGGTTGAATTGACAGAAGTCAAATCTGTCATTGATAATGATATTTGGAAATCTAAATGTTTGTAGATCTGCATGCGGAAAGTTCGATATTGGCGTCCGCTGTGTCTTGTCGCCCAAAAACTTAACAGAATTTGCCAGAAAATAATTTGATGGTCTTTCGCAAGATCTTAGCCGAGCGAAATTGTCAAGACGGTCGAATAATTCAAGAGTTAAACTGACGCTATTTCCAATTCCAAAGAATTCAACCCAATTATTGATGTTACATGGGCTTTTCAAACTGCATGTGACCGAATCCTTTCCGAAGCTTTCAACAGATTGTAATGGACAACGCAGGACCTCGCGTTTCTCATCTAATCCCCTGAAAACGGTTTCTGTCATTATATTAATGTTTTTGATTAATCCACTTCCTTTCACTTGATAAGTCACTTCCGTCGAAAATGACGTGACTTTTTTGAGTAAATTGACGTCACCTACGCACTTGAAAAACGAAATATGCAATTCTATCGAAAACGGGTACTGTTATATCTGTACCACACAATATTGTCATGTTATCTTCTTGATTCCCGAACAAACTGTTCTAAGTTGATCACAAATTCGTCAATAAAATAAACACACCAGTCCTGAATAACTGATAAAAAAATATCCTTGACATTGATCCCTACGGAATGAAAGTAAGCGAGTAAGATTCTATTTTACTATCAAACTGACTCTCTTTCGAAAATTATAAGAAATACTATTCAATTCATCAAAATTGTTACTTCAAGGAAAATCAAAATTACAAAAGTTGAACTCTATGCAGCGCGGAGCCTCGAAAAAGGCAAGTAAAAAGCTAATCAAAATTACAAAACTTAACTCTATGCAGAGCGGAGCCTCGAAAAAGGCAAGTTGAATCTTCGCCTCGAAAAAGGCAAAGATTCAGCTTGCTTAAACTAACAACAAATAACTTAAAAACAAGCACTTTGGTGATTCAAGTCAGAAAAAAGAATGGTCAATTAATACGAAGATGGGACAGAATGTTTCATCATTGCCGAAAGAAAAAGTTGAAGAAAACATTTTAATTGAATTTTGTTTCAGTGTTTTTCGACTGTGAAAGACGGTTGTGCAATACAGTTTTACACAGAGCCGAAACAGAGCTGCACACCTCTTGCAATACAATATACACAGAGAATGGCACAGCCAGCCGAAAGCTACCAATGACCAAAAAAAACTAAGACAAAATCCATCGAACGTTAACTATTCAGCCAAAACTTGGTTACATGCCCGTGAAGCCAGGAAAAAATACTTTTGAAATTCCAAGAAACTCCCCCGAAGCACACAAAAGCCTATTCTTTTCAAACAATGTGAAGTTAGGCATTAAGATGAAACATAAATCAATATGACATTAATTTGAACCTAGTAAGAACCAAATTTCTCATGTAAGACAAAAATTAAGAAAATAATTAACCAAAAGCCATGCGACCGAAAAAACAGACATCTGTTTCCGTACTTTCTTTACTAACAGAAACGGTTGGTGCGTGAAAACCAAAAACCTAAACTATATTTACACTGCACAAAATTGAATTCAAAGAACCATTTACAACAAAAGCAAAGCGTGTATTAGAAAAAATAGAGAAAAATGACTTAAATTGACATTTTAAAAAGTTATTCTCAAGCTAAATTTTAAACAATGAGCAAAAAATATTTTTTGTTTCGACCAAAAATTTCTTTAGAGCAATTAAGGCTTTTTAAATCCGAGTCTAATGATTCAAACGGTAAAACCTTACGAGAAATATTGGCTACAAAGCACTTGAACCAAAATAAAAACCAGTAGTTGAGGAAAAACTGATCGAAAATTATACCAAAAAATTGTGTACTAAATAATGATATTAATTATCATAATCAAGAGGATATCATTAACAAGAGGATGTCACTCAAAAAGCAGTGCGTAAAAATTTGATTAAAAAGCACCTATTTAAAAACAAAAACAAACGAAAAAAAATTCATGCGCAAAAAAAAAAATTTTTTTTCTAGAAGAGACTCGGAGAAATAAACCAGAACCTAATAGAAAAAAACATGAGTTAAACAAGCCGACAGAATTAAGGCAGACACACAATAAGCTGAAAATAATCCGAAACTTGTTCGGAGAGAAAAAACATATGACAAAAACTTGCAGGTAATACTATCAAATCAATCACGAATCCCACATAAGCCTTAAAAGAAAGATGCATGTGTAACAGTAGTAATTTATCATTTCTAAGATTGTTTTAAATCGACAGTTCTTGAGCGAAGTTATGAAGTTTAAAAAGTCGATTTGCAGCATGTCACTCAAAAAGCAGTGCGTAAAAATTTGATTAAAAAACACCTATTTAAAAACAAAAACAAACGAAAAAAAATTCATGCGCAAAAAAAAGATTTTTTTTCTAGAAGAGACTCGGAGAAATAAACTAGAAACTAATAGAAAAAAACATGAGTTAAACAAGCCGACAGAATTAAGGCAGACACACAATAAGCTGAAAAAAAATCCGAAACTTGTTCGGAGAGAAAAAACATATGACAAAAACTTGCAGGTAATACTATCAAATCAATCACGAATCCCACATAAGCCTTAAAAGAAAGATGCATGTGTAACAGTAGTAATTTATCATTTCTAAGATTGTTTTAAATCGACAGTTCTTGAGCGAAGTTATGAAGTTTAAAAAGTCGATTTCATCTTCCGCTTTCCAATTTGGTTCTGATAAATTTTCATACCAGTTGAATGTTTGGCTGAATGGGTTTTATTATAATATACCATTAGAAACTTTCTTCTAATTGTTGCCAGAATTTGCACGGTAAAACATCCGGAACCACTTAATAATCGAACCAAACTAAGTTAAATTAAGTTAATCAGTATTCACAAAACATTAGAGAGAAAATTAGGTTTTTTAATTCTGAGTATTGAAACCAAGGTTTGTTTTGTAATTACAAGTGGCATCTAATAGTTGTGTCTCATCAGAGTTTGCTTAAAAAATAAACAATACTAAACCACCACCAAATTTTGAAAACTCAAAAAAAAATTAATGACTGCTCGTATCAAGGCAGACTCCTACGTATTCGGACTGCATTTTTGAAGTATCTGAAGTTGTTAATGGTTAAATGAACGTTCAAACTTAAGAAAATCATATATTTTTTTCATAACTTCGCCCATACGAATCGACAGGTAAGAATGGTTAAATGAACGGTCAAACTTAAAGAAAACTTTTTTAACTACATCTTCGCCCATACGAATCGCCAAGTAAAGAAGTGTTTTTTTAGCTTTAATACTTCTTACTTGCATGTAATACTATCAAAGCAATCACGAATCCTACATAAGCGTTAAAAGAAAGATGCATGTGTTACAGTAGTAATTTATCATTTCTACGATTGTTTTGAATCGACAGTTCTTGAGCGAAATTATGAAGTTATTTAAGGGGAAAAAGTCGATTTGATCTTCCGCTTTTCAATTTGGTTCTGATAAATTTTCATATTAGTTAAATGTTTGGTTGAATGGGCTTTATTATACTATACCATTAGAAATTTTCTTCTAATTGTGCTGCCAGAATTTGCACGGGAAAACATCCGCACCACTTAATAATCCAACCAAACTAAGTTAAATTAAGTTAATCAGTATTGACAAAACATTATAGAGAAAATTAGGTTTTTTAATTCTGAGTATTGAAACCAAGGTTTGTTTTGTAATTACAAGTGGCATCTAATAGTTGTGTCTCATCAGAGTTTGCTTAAATAATAAACAAAACTAAACCACCACCAAATTTTCGGAATAAAAACTCAAAAAAAAATTAATGGCTGCTCGTATCAGGGCAGACTCCTACGTATTCTGACTGCATTTTGAAGTATCTGAAGTTGTTAATGGTTAAATGAACGTTCAAACTTAAGAAAATCATATATATTTTTTCATAACTTCGCCCATACGAATCGACAAGTAAGAATGGTTAAATGAAGGGTCAAACTTAAAGAAAACTATTTTAACTACATCTTTGCCCATACGAATCGACAAGTAAAGAAGTGATTTTTTAGCTTTATTACTTCTTACTTGCTCACCGCAGTAAGTTAGTCGGAGCAGCAAAAAAACTTTTTTGGGATCACCTAAATTGCATGAAAAACAATCCTTCCTCGGATAGAATTTTTTCCACTCTTTGATAGTGGTCCAAATTAACACTTAAAACCTATTATTCCTTAGACATGAGCGCAAAATTCTGATTTTTGATTTTCTACATCATTTTTCCAAATGGAGAAAAGGTCCCTTTACGAGCTTTGATTGAGGCATTCAGAATCTATACACCGAGGCTTAACAGAGCTTCGCACCACTTGCCATACGACACAAAAATATCATGACAAACAAGCAAACTTGAGACGAAAGCCACCATTCGAAAAAACGTTGAAAGTTTTTGAAAATGTTGAGAAAAGCTAAATCTAACAAATTTTTCACATCTTTGACTTGAAGGTTTACTTTAAAAAAAGAGAGAAATAAGACAATTGAAAGTTATATTTGCATCGAAACAAAGCGGAAGTGATAATAAAGCCGACAATTTTTGAGCAGACAGCCATTGGGACAAAAAAAATATTGAATGAGCCCATCAAAAGGATAGCAAAATTGTTTCGCTCATCCAGCGATGCAATAAGCGGATTCCACTAAGCCGATTAGTTAGATACACTGAAAATAACTTTTGAGCTGAGTAAACAAAAAAACAACAAGAAAGAATTGATAACGCTTGCTAATAACGTAATAATTCTGTGAGCATTAAGAATCGGAGCAAAAAACATTGTTTACTCAAGTACCTCAACAAATGGGGCTTTGAAAATGGTATTTAAAAATTTAAAAGAAAACGGAACCTTTAAAAGGAGTACGTGCTGCGGAAACTAAGCCAACAAAAATAAACAGACGGACGATAGCCCGAAAAAGTACAAAGCTTCTAAATTTAAAAAAAAGATCCGACCGGATTCGAACTACAACCCCTTGTCATCTCAAGCAGGTCTGTTACCTCTACGCCATCAGAGCTAAAATATTTATTGGTTTTGAATTTATCACGTAGCAAGATGAATCACGCAAACTTTTGTGAACAAAGTTGTTTACGAGAAAAATCTTGTAAACAGTTGCAATACCCTTGCTTATCGTTATCGCAACGGTAAAGATATTAAAAGATAATTTTGGTAAAAGAAACAATGACCCAATTACTAATACTTATCGTACAAAATGCTCAATCGATAAATAGTCTAACCAAGGAGTCAATTTTTACAAAAACCAAAAGTTTATCATAAAAAATGAACGCTCATTTGTGAAGGTTTTCTCAAAAGTTTCCTTCAGGTAAAAAAAATTAACAATGAGCAAAATCATAAATCACACATTAAATTGAAATAAAACTAATAGATTTTTTAGTACAAGGTGCAAAATCACTTTTAAAGATCACATAGCCAACAGACAGTTGGAAAAATGGTGTCAATGAACTTGAAGATAAAAAATGTTTTTTTTTTAAACTGTCATCTTTCGAGTTTCAAACATTATAGTACTTAAAAACTCTTTGAATTTCATGAATATTTGATGACATAGAGGCAAAGTTTCGCTTCGCAAACACCAGCAAAAACACGTCAGAAAGCAGCTCTATAAAAAGCAAAAAAGAAAAAGAAATAAGACTCGAATTAGCAAAATTCGGCTACGTCAGAGATTCGAAAATCGAACCTGCGATCTAGAGATTATGAGTTACTCACGCTAAACAATTAACAAATTTTGGTACAAATAGTCCAACGGGATAAAGCTGAGTCAAACTAAAAAAAATTCATTCAGCTTAGAAATCTAAAAAAGAAAATCTACTTTGGAAGTCATTCGTATTTTATCAAGGCAAAACAGGAGAACATTTTCACATACGAACAAGGATAGCCAAATACTCTGCAAGTAGCAAAGAATGTTCCAACCAGTCTCAAAAAAAAATTCCAATTAGTGTAGTTTTTTCTGCTTGGTGTGATAAAGGAATCTGAGCTAAAAAGTAGAGCTTAGACAATTTCGTCAGTCAAGTAAAATATGCAAATTGGAAAACAATTTTGAAGACAAAAACAAGAAAAACAAGTTTTTGATTCCTAAAATGAAGCTAAAAACCCCAAAAACTAACTTCATCAGAGTAAAACTAGATTTTCAAAGCTTAAATTAAGCATAAATAAGCTAATGTAAGCCTGCTCACTCGCTCGAAATCAGACGAAAAATCAAAAATTTCAAACCGGTTTTTCTCGACACCGGGAAAACTTTTATGATTCCTTGATGTCGTTCGAATCACGACTGAAAGGGCTTTTATATGATATGTCACTCAACCCAGTCCGATCATTTTTTGTGGTACCTGATTTTGCGTGGAAAGCAAAAAGAAGAAAAAAACTAAAACACACCCGAATGCAAAGTTCCTCCCCAATTTGAGGCAAAACAGGAGAACCTTTTCACATACGAACAAGGATAGCCAAATACTCTGCAAGTAGCAAAGAATGTTCCTACCAGTCTCAAAAAAAAATCCAATTAGTGTAGTTTTTTCTGCTTGGTGTGATAAAGGAATCTGAGCTAAAAAGTAGAGCTTAGACAATTTCGTCAGTCAAGTAAAATATGCAAATTGGAAAACAATTTTGAAGACAAAAACAAGAAAAACAAGTTTTTGATTCCTAAAATGAAGCTAAAAACTCCAAAAACTAACTTCATCAGAGTAAAACTAGATTTTCAAAGCTTAAATTAAGCATAAATAAGCTAATGTAAGCCTGCTCACTCGCTCGAAATCAGACGAAAAATCAAAAATTTCAAACCGGTTTTTCTCGACACCGGGAAAACTTTTATGATTCCTTGATGTCGTTCGAATCACGACTGAAAGGGCTTTTATATGATATGTCACTCAACCCAGTCCGATCATTTTTTGTGGTACCTGATTTTGCGTGGAAAGCAAAAAGAAGAAAAAAACTAAAACACACCCGAATGCAAAGTTCCTCCCCAATTTGAATGGTCAAACAATTAAAAAAATCGCGCTCATAAGACATGCTAAATCTTGTTTAAAACATAAACTATAAAACCATAAGTTAATGTATACTTGCAAAAACCTTTGATATATAGAAGAAAAAATACAATCATCGCATCATCTCCTTTTCAAAAATAGTGTGGTATTCTTCATTCAAATCAAATTTTAGCACTGTTTTGTTGGGCATATTTACAACCATTCCAGGATTAAGTCCAAAAAAAATTTGGCGGGGGTTTTTCGCCACGTTACCGAAAGATGGTCTCGAGGTGCCGTCAAACCCGAATTTCTTCCCAAGGCGGACTCTTGCATCCAGTAGTTCTTTTTCGTTACATAAGTAACCTCTGACCTCTGGATTCGTGTAATAATTTATCAGAGACTTGGGAGGTGCAAGGCGAGGAGGTATAGGTGAACCAGATGAAAAAAAATCAGAAGGCGGGCGTAGACATCGTAATGCATTCGAGTCATAGTAAGAAGTAATGAGACATCCGCCTACTCTTTCGATGGCAGCAATTATTTGCTCACTTGCACCGGACTCTACGTGCTGCACTTCGATGAAAACTTTACTTCTAAAATTTTCGACTCCATCGAGAGTAAGCTGAAAACCGTCTACAGGATTGACATTTTTGAAAATATTTAGCGACATTATTTTACCAAAATCTATAGGTTTACTAGGGTCAATAACGTTCATATCAACTAAATTCTGAAGGCAGAACAAGGAAATTGGATAGTATTCGTTTCGGTCATCTTGATACTTGTAATACGGATACTTCGGAGTTCTTATGTTCAGCGGAGTCCGACCTTTAACATGCCCTAATGGTGGAAAATTACTCCGCTTCAGCCTATCTCCTCTGCCATAGTTCGGTCTCTGTGCTTTTTTTATCTTCATTTCTGGAATTGCTTCAAGACACTGAACTGTAATTCGGGGACTATCTCGGATGAGAGATAGTGCTCTTTCAGACACGCTTTTTAGCGAGTGCATTTTTTCTGAAGAAATTAACACTCAGTCAAATAGTGCAGAAATATCCCAACTAGAAACAACTAATTCACATGTAGCTTCCTCAGATGTAAAAATACAGAAAGGTGGTTTGTTTTATTAACGAGTACTCCCTGAATTATGGTTTGATCCCTTGAAACTTCAACAGCAAACGACCTCTTTTTTCTGGAATTTCAATTTGCCATGATAGGTAATTACTATTCTGTGTTGCCAAGAGCAAAGCGCTACTTGAGTTCGAATAATTTACTTTAGAAAATACTGGTTTAGCCTAATTGTTGTGATAAATATAAGAAATTTAAAATGTTATTTCAAACGTTTTCGCACATTATGTGCATCATCAGGATTAAAATTTTTTACAATATTTACAAAACGATCAAAGATCTGAAAAATGAGAAACATGTCTTAAAAGGCTCTAAAACTTTTTAATCAATCAAATTTAAACAACTGTACTTTCATAATATAATTACGTAATCATGAATAACATTTTCCTATAATTTCTGAGATTTTTTAGTTTTTGTTCTTTCATGGTTATAAAATTTTGATTTGGGAATATTTTTGATTCTGACATGTCAGTTTTTTATTTTTTAGCCATGTTATACATAGACTATAAATTTAGTGTTAATTCCCGGCTCCTGAATTCATCGCGTGTGTTGATCTTTGGCCTCTCCCTCCAAATATGCAATCCTCTTGTGTCAGTAGCTTATGAGTGTTAACTGTTTGGTCTATAATCTCTGACTTCAGCTCAGCAGTACCGCCTACCTCCTTATTACATTCTAACACGTGTTGCCTTACTGGGAGTCTCCTTTGCGGTGTTCATCGACCCTCGTGGCTAAATGTCGGACTGTCTGGCCGACATAGGTGGAGTTACATCCACTACATGTAAGCTTGTACACCACTTTGGATCTCGGTTCACGAGCAAAGGGAGTTTTGAGGGATGGTAAGCATGTTTTCAATTCTCTTGTTGTAAAAATTATTTGTGCCCCGATTATAAGCCTGAATTCATCGCGTGTGTTGATCTTCGGCCTCTCCCTCCAAATATGCAATCCTCTTGTGTCAGTAGCTTATGAGTGTTAACTGTTTGGTCTATAATCTCTGACTTCAGCTCAGCAGTACCGCCTACCTCCTTATTACATTCTAACACGTGTTGCCTTACTGGGAGTCTCCTTTGCGGTGTTCATCGACCCTCGTGGCTAAATGTCGGACTGTCTGACCGACATAGGTGGAGTTACATCCACTACATGTAAGCTTGTACACCACTTTGGATCTCGGTTCACGAGCAAAGGGAGTTTTGAGGGATGGTAAGCATGTTTTCAATTCTCTTGTTGTAAAAATTATTTGTGCCCCGATTATAAGCCTGAATTCATCGCGTGTGTTGATCTTCGGCCTCTCCCTCCAAATATGCAATCCTCTTGTGTCAGTAGCTTATGAGTGTTAACTGTTTGGTCTATAATCTCTGACTTCAGCTCAGCAGTACCGCCTACCTCCTTATTACATTCTAACACGTGTTGCCTTACTGGGAGTCTCCTTTGCGGTGTTCATCGACCCTCGTGGCTAAATGTCGGACTGTCTGGCCGACATAGGTGGAGTTACATCCACTACATGTAAGCTTGTACACCACTTTGGATCTCGGTTCACGAGCAAAGGGAGTTTTGAGGGATGGTAAGCATGTTTTCAATTCTCTTGTTGTAAAAATTATTTGTGCCCCGAATATAAGCCGAACCTTTGCACATAACAGTTGAGATGGATTGTCTCGATATTGCACTGTAAGAAGGGGTGGTGAGTCTTTCAACCATTTATCATTTCTCGATTCTGATGCCTTCACCTCTAATTTTTTCCCCCTCAATCAGGGATGTCGAATACTCGGATTTTTTGATATTCGTTATTCGCCGCGGCCCAACTATTCGATATTCGACTTCGGCCGAATAGTGCCCTTACTATTCGGATTCGGCTTCGGCCAAATGTTACTACTCGAACAACTATTCGGATATTTGGTTATTTTCCCAAAAAACTTAGCATAAAAGTTTGATACAACAAATTCTATAAAAAGTATTGAACATAGCATTTTTCAAGTAGAATTGGCTGGGACTTGCGTAATAATGTAAAAATCGCGGGAGTGAGTAAATGTTAAAAATCAGTCACAACTCACAACCCAGTTTTTCGAGCTAAATCGACTGAGATTGCTAAAAACTGTTAAAAATCAGTGACAACCCAGTTTTTCGAGCTAAAGGAGTGACACTATTTAAAAAAGAGACCGTAATTTCAAAACAAGTTTGCTAATGAATCACAGTCACTATTTAATGCGTTTAGTTGCTCTTCGTCAAAGTTTTCAGTCTCGTTTCCGACATTGCATATAAACTGCTTGACAATCAGGTTAATAACATGAGCCAAACATGGGAATGTAAATACATTGGCAATGCGGCCAGCTAATTGAACATCCGACCCACAGTCGCTAATAAATAAGGAAATGTCTCTTAATTGTAGACCAAAACGACTTAGCGTTTTTTTCAGATTGATGAGTATTTCTTCGGCCCCACAGAAACCAGTATGATAAATCAAACCCAAGCAAACGCTTTCTCCGCCAACATACAAATATACTCCAATTGAACTCTAGCCCGCTTGAAAGGAATTACAGTTTGGTCCGATGCAATGACAGTTTGGACCGTTTTGCTATCACACACTTGCGTGTGTTTAGTCATCGAAGTCGTTGACGCCCCAATACTCTTAATCAAAACTTTGCATTTAATGCACTTTCTTCCTTCCGTTTTTCTACCACCTCGATATTCCACAAGAAACTTTTCATGCCATTTTGCCACTCCTTTTTCTTTTCTATACTCGCACTCGGCAGCGACATCAGACTCTTCTACATTAGCCATCTTAAAAAAAACAGAAAAATATTGTGAAACAAAACAGTAAACCAATATTCGGAATATTCGGGTTTTTTAGCAGTGGACCCTGGATTATTCGGTATTCGGCAAAAAAAAAAAATATTCGGATTCGATATTCGGATTTCAAAATTTTAATATTCGGATTCGGCTTCGAAGTGCCGAATACTCGGTATTCGGGTCGAATACTCGGATTCGAATCGATATCCCTGCCCTCAATAATCTTGTTAAGCGTTTCAAACACTACCCTGTCAGACCAAATTTTCAGATTTGATTTTCAATCCATTGCTTCCGATTTTTTCCCCAATGTCTGGTCAAAATCTTCCCATGTTGAGGTACTTCTGAAAATTCTATGAACCGTCCCTTCATTAACGTTTCTTTTGTAGTGCAAAGGTGCGCAGCCTCTGAAATTTAGAATGATGCCGGTATCAGTGGGTTTTTGGTACCAAACACATTTGAACTTTTTTGCTGAATCCACGTTGATATTTATGTCCAAAAAGGCCAAATAACCGTTACTATCAAGTTCTTCTATGGTGAACTGCAAGTTTGGATGCAACTTATTGGCAGCCTCGAGAACTACCCCAGGATCGCCCTTGACCATTCTAAGTATGTCGTCCACATATCTTAGAAAAACTTTAACACCATTCACGATCTGCTTCCTGTTGTTTTCTGCAAGTCATGCAATAACATACTGTTTCAGCGATGTCTGCATATTCAGATTCCGATATGTTACCACACCCTAAGTGGTACCAGTTCAAATAAGCTTCGCATTCTATCCCTTTTGTCCGATATGCCACCTTTTTCTGACATCTAGGGCGTACTTCCTTGTTACACTCACTTAGCACAATCAATTTTGTTACTTCTTTCTTTAATGCAGGTTCGTATTCTTTGAGCCACAAATTGGCAAATATTACTGCAATGGAGGCGCCCTATGCTAAACCATCTTTTTCTACATACCAAAAACCATTGCATTTAAAGTGTACCCTACTCACTGCCAAGTTCAGTAGTTTTTTCTTGCGAGATGTTTCCGGAGGGTTGACTTGCTCATATAATCTCCTCAGGGCTATTTCAACCGCTTCCTTGAGCGTGAGATTACTGTACAAACTCTGCGAGATGTTTCCGGAGGGTTGACTTGCTCATATAATCTCCTCAGGGCTATTTCAACCGCTTCCTTGAGCGGGAGATTAGTGTACAAAGATCTCCCTGGCCATTTGAGTGTTCGTTTCTATGTTTGCCCCCTCATTTTCATCAAAGTACTTTGCCAATATTTTATTTAGGTTGTCATATGAGCTACCAGGTAAAGAAAGGACGGTACGAAGTGGTGTGCCTTGTTTGTGTACTTTTGCTAATCCATACAGCCTAGCCGGCTGCGCTCCCGTTGATCTAAACCTAGTGTACAGCGCTTCGCTAATCCTGACCTTCTTTTTCATGGCGAGTAATTCTTTGCTTATGTCCTTTTCAATTTTCATAATCACGCTGTCTGTCAGATTCTTCCTCTCACTAAATTGTTCTGCCTGTAATAAATCTTTCAGTTTTTTCTTATATGTCTCCTTTTTCATTACACAAAAACTCACCCCCTTATCAAACGGCACTGCCAGAAGACCGTTGTCCTTCAAATATTTTCTGGCTTTTTCAACATCTTTGTCAGAGGGGGTCTGTTTCACGTTCTTACCATATCTCTTTGCAGCTGCTTCAATCTCACATGATTTTTCTCCGGGTATTCTATTTAACTTCAGTTCAGACAAAAAACTATCAATGTCAGCAAGGAAGTGAATTTCATTGAATTTGTCTCGTACCGGATGTCTTGGTCAAAACTTAAGGCTTCCCGCACCCAAAGCGGCAAAATCAGTTCATCTAAAATTCTAACTGACCTTTCAACCAGTTTTTTAATAGTCTATCCTGTCTTTTCGAAAGTTTTTCAAGATTTCTCTTGTGTCGGCTTATCAGGTTATTGACACTACACCTTGCTTGTGGGTTCAGATAGAATATTACCGAAGGCCACCACTTCTCATCTATACCCCTTCTCACTACCTCTCTTGCTTTTACTAGGTTACCCGATGCCTTGGCCCTATCCGCATTTGCCTGGCTTATCTCAGATCTCAAG